GAGCACAACAATGTCCACTTTAAATAAACGTCACATTCCCAGTGTTGAGGTAGAGCTGCTTCATTTCTCAGCTGAAGCACACATGGAACTGCTGCCAGGCAGGAACCTGCACAGCAGAGCAGCAGCCCTGCCCAGCCTGGCCTTGGGCACTGCCAGGGATGCAGGGGCAGCCCCAGCTGCTCTGGGCACCCTGTGCCAGGGCCTGCCCACCCTGCCAGGGAACAATTCCTAATTCCCAATATCCCATCCATCCCTGCTCTCTTCCGATTTACAGCCACTCTGCCTTATCCTGTCACTCATGCACTTGCAGGATGTCCCTCTCCAGCTCTCCTGCAGCCCCTTTAGGCACTGAAATGCTGCTCTAAGCTCTCCCTGGGCTCCTCTCTTCTGCAATCAAACAGAAAATTAATAAATTAAATGTCATCAGTGGAGAACATTAATGATTTTTTTCCATTGTCAAACGCAGTCCGGAACTAAACAAAAATTTCAGAAGAATTGTTCTCAAAGAGCAAAGCAAAAAACAAGTCTTACTAAAATCTGGTTTTCAGTTGTAATAAGAACCAGACCTCATTGGTAACCAACAGTCTTTGAAAAAACTCTCAGAAAAAAATCTCTTTGTGAATTTCCAGTTAAAGGTTGCTTTGTATGACAATTGCCCAAGTGTTGCAACCATACAAACCTCAGGAATCAACCCAGTAAGAGCCGTGTGTGTCACTTTGTTTCCTTTTTTAGGTAGATTGATTAACAATCTTGAACATTCCTAGCAGGCCAGCATTTCAGCAGCTTTTCCCTGTCTGGGCAGCCACACAGAAGCTGTGTTTCTTTTCCAGTGGATCCCACAGGATGCTGAACACAGGGCAAGGAGCAGCACTGCACTGGCACCACTAAAGAGGAAAATGCTCTGTATCTGTCCAGCTTCTGGGGCAGGGAGCTGATCCCACTCCCTCAGCCTGGGCTCACTTTACATCACACGATCCAGTTTTTCCTTTCTTTAGCCTCAGTTCTGCTGAGAACTGAAAAGAAATGTGGGGAGGGGGGTGGGTGCTGTGCCATCGCAATCTTGATTTTTAATTACTCCCTGTTAATGTGAAAATTTATTTTACCCTCATGCAGAAAGCTTTGCAGCTTCTTTTCTGTCAATTCTGACTGGCTGACATTAGCAACAGTAACTTACTGAGTTTCTAAAGATCACATGAAACCCCATCTCATTCAGCACTTACTGTGTGCTGGGGCTTGCAGAGCTGGCATTTGTATTCCAAGGTGGAGAACTGGCAATACTTCCCTGGCTCACAGTCTTCATCAATGATACACTCCTGGAGGAAAGGATAAGAGAGTGATTTACCAAAATTCATTCTCCTTCAAACACCACAAGTTCTTCACTGATTATATTTCTTATTTGGGAACCCAGACAAAAAGCTTGCTGGGGTTCTTTGTTCAATCACAGCTCTGTAACAGAGCAGTGCCCTCTCCCTGGGTCGTCTAAATCCTCTGGCCTCAAATTTCACCTCCTGAGCCTGTGGCAGTGAGGAGAACACAGTGAGAGTGATGTTTTTTGCACCCTCATGTCTGGTACACAGGGACGGGGTGTTTTCCCATCTAATGGTTACCTCCTTACAACTGTGTGATTAACCCTCTTCTCTAAATAGTTTTTTTTTTCCTTTGGGCTGGAAACAAGTTAGCCAACAGAAGAAAAACTCCTAGCACTGTTCTGAGTCACCTGTTTGTGACCTGCCCAGCACTGGATTCTACCATTGTAAGTGGAAAGGAAAAAGGAAAAAAAGGAAAAGGGATTACACAAAAATGCCTGGATTCTCTGAATTAAGCACTTGACTGCTCTTTGGCACACACTAATCTCACTGGCTGGAGCAAATCATCTGTGCAAGCTCTACTGAAAGTTCCCACTAAGCTTCTCCTTTCCTTCAGATCTCCTCCAGCTTTGGGGGTTCCTGCCCTGGGTGAGGCAAGGCTGCTCTGCAGGAACCAGCCTTGTCTGAGTTACCCATCCTGGCCTCCTCTGATGTTTTCCTGCAGTTTTACTGCGTTCATTTTGTGCAAATTCACAGAATCACCGGGTTGGAAGAGACCTTCAAGATCATCCAATCCAACCCAACCCCTCAGCTGAACCCTGGCCCCCAGTGCCACATCCAGGCTTTGTTAAACACCCCAGGGATGGGGACTGCATCACCTCCCCAGGCAGAACATTCCAGAGCTTCATCACCTTCCTGTAAAAACCCTTTTTCCTGATATCCAACCTATATTTCCCTTGGTGCAGCTTGAGACTGGTTACTCAGAACACAGAACAGAAGCTAAACACAGTCTGGGGCCTGATTCTTTTCAAGTCCACAACTCAACATTTAAGTATATGTGTTTATAGTTCAGAAGAAGTCATTTTAGCTGTTTTAAGGAATTAGTATCACCAGGCCTAGGCTGCTATAAATTATTGAAAAGTTTTTCTGCTTCATTATCCCAGTACTGTGGGGGGGGGGGTTTTGTTTAATTTTTTTTTTTTTCTTTTCTGTTGCTCCAGAATCCAAATACCCAAATGCTATGCAGTATGTTGGAGGTTTTGTGCTCCAGGTGAGCAGCCAGCCTCCTCTCTTCAGCAGCTAGGCTCTTCTAGGCCAACTTTGTGTTTGCAGCTTTTGTGAATGCTCTGTATAAACCACACCAGAACAGACTATTTCAGTGCTGTTCCATCCCCTTTCAGGCACACAGCCAGGTCTTGCTGCAGTCAGGTTTTCCAGCTGTCCTTCTCCACAAAGGAGAAACCTTGCCATGACTGCTCTAAGCTCATGGAATAACTCTAGCTCTAAAACCACCTAACACCAAAGCTGCAATTCTCCACTCGCTGCTTCCTCCTGAATTAATGAGGCCCAGACCAAAAAACTTTTTCCTCTTACTGAATTGTGTCCCACCAGTTCAGACATTCAGTTTTATGAGAGTTTCCAGTAAAAAAATCCCTTTGTGGTTTTCTTTCCTGGCATGGCAAAGGCTTCCCTTCATATGAGCTCTGTGAAATTGTGTGCCACACTCCACAGACACCCACAGTTAGTGCAGAACTCACTTGTGCTTACATGTATTTTTAAAATTATTTCTTTTTCCTTATTTAATCAGGCAACAGACCTTTTCTGATTCAGCTACCCTTAGACAGAATAACTGCTGGACAAGGAGCAAATCTGACCACCTTCATCGGCTGCAGCAGATTCTGGACAATCCATTTTTTCCTGGAACTACAAAACCAAATAATCTCTCAGAATATTTTGTCATTGCAGGAGCAAGAGGGTAAAGTGAGGAGAAGGAGAGGTGGCCTCTGATGTGCAGCAGAGCACACAAGCTGGGCAGATAACTTACAGACAGGGTCAGGCACACTGATAATGCTGCACAGCTCTCTGAAATCCCTTCTGGAGTGGTTACAGTTAATGCTGTGATAAAAAAAGAGGCTGTTTGGGAGTAAAACAGAGTGAAAGTGAAAGCAGCACTGCCTGTTTGTCAATGGGTGTACTGGGACCCACCACCAACAGAGGCCAGGATGGAGAATCCCATGCCATGTACCTGCAAGGACACACTCAGCATCCTGTGGACTCATTATAACACTGTGCTCTGCAGTGAATATCCTGCAGCACCTGGGAGCTATTTGGGCATTAGGATCTGCTCCAAAACCAACAGGGAAAAAAAAAAAACCCAACAAAAAAATTGAAAATAATTGAAAAGGTTCCTATGTCTGCTGAAACAACTGCTGCTGAAAGAAATGCCAGGTTTCTTGTCTTTGGTAGATTATGTCAAAGATTATTGCTTTCCTAAAGAATGATTAGTGTCCATTTTATTTGAAAATACAGCAGTGAGTGGTGTTGGTGATGGCTGAACGGGGCAGGTGTGGCTGAGCAGGCCTGAGCTGGGGGACAAGCTTGGACAGGAGCATTTCCCCCAGGCCTCTGCACACAGGGAAAGGCACAGAAGAGGAGAATTTCCTCTCTGTGTGATGTGCCAGCCTGCACCCACAGCACGGGCTGGGCTGCAAGGGGCTGCAGGCAGCTCTGCAGAATGGGCTCTGTGAAAAACGCCAATCATTTGTTTTTAAAAGTTTAAAAGTTTAATAGTAATAAAATGGTTATTAAAATAGTCATATAATTAGAGTAATAATAATTTGGACAATTTGGATTAGGACAATATGAGACAATAAAAACAAAGGGTTATGGACAGTCCAGGTACCTTTTCTGGGCAAAATAAACCCGAAAAAGGACCCACATTAACAGAGGAATAACCCTTAAAAAAAAAACCCGGTGCAAAATCAAAAAACCCAACCAAGAAGCAAAAAATCCAATCAAAAAAAAGAATCCGGCCGGGCAAGGGCAACCTCCTCCCCCGAAACCCGAAGGCAACCTAAAGGCCGAACAAAGCAAGAAAAAAGTTCATTGCTCCTAAAAAGGAACAAAAAAATCCCCTTCCCCGAAAAAATCAAGGGGCCCGGGGCCGCCAACCCAGGGTGAATCCTTTCTTTAGAAAAAGCACCCTACATAGCACAGTTTCTATTTTAACATTATGTTATAGCCTAAAACTATATTTAACACACTACTTAAGAGAATTAATACAGCATCACTTTCTAACATATAACCCATATAATATTCATTTCAATATTTGCCAAAAGCCAATCACAAAATAGGCATTTTTCACAGGCTGATGCACTGCACCCAGCCCAGGGCGGGCCACGTCACCTCTGCCCATACCAGGGAGCAGAAACAGGGACAAGTCAAGAATTCCTCATTTCAAGCCATGAAAGCAGAACAACAAGCCAGAGTTAACCAGCTCTCATACAGAAACCCACTGTCTTTAGCAGTGCTTCTCTGGTTTCTGTGCCTCACTGTGGCAATACCTTTAAAGCTGTTCTGCTGGTGATACAGTATGTACTGAAATAACACTCATTTTGCTTTCATCTTTTTCCCCTTAATCCTTAATTAAAACCCTAATTGTAGACTAAAAAATATTCTGATGATGACTAACCTTCAAGATGGACTAACTGATTTTAAATACACAACTGGCATTTGATTTATCCATTCCCTCTTCCCACTCACACTCACCCTGCTTCCACATTCTCAAAAAGTTCTTCAAAGGTAACTTTAAACAAAACTCTTCACTACTCATATCTTCAGCCAATATTTGTCTGGGACTGTCCTGAGTGAGACTTTCTCTCCTGGGCTCTTTACTCTTTTGTTTAGAACCCAAAACGCAGAGGAAGGCACAGCCATGACAAAAGAAAACATTTCTGTGGTTCTCTGGCACGGGAACGGTGAGACTCAAGCAAGAGAACCCCTTTTCCCCTCCCTGTGTAATCTACATGGCTCAGTTTGCTGGCTTATTGTGATCCAGGTAGAGTTTGTGCCCATAAACTCCTGCAGGAGCTGAGGGGAGAGGCAGGATTGTTTTCTGCACAGCTGGTAGGCCAAAACAGCCCTTCCAAAGTGCTCATTCCTAAAGCTCTGCGCACTTCAGGTGCTCGAGCCATGAAGTGTGGGGGCAAAAATCAATGATTTTGGAGAGGTGAGGAAGTTCTGCCAGCAGAAACACAATTCCACTAGAGCAACTGGTGTGACAACCAGAAAATGAGTTTTAGTAATAACCTTGGAAATGCGTGGGAGCACCTCTCACTGTATTTCGGGACAACTGTCCTCCCAAAGCTTCTCTGAACAAAAGCCCCTTTACATGTTAATTAAAAACTCCTCCCACAAAGCAATTCCCTTCTCAAAAACCTGTAACTCTGGTGAAACTCAGTGTTAGCCTCCACAAACAGACAGCAACAGCTCCAGCTGTGGCTGCAGTGCCATGGTCACACTGGGACTGGCATCCCTCAGCAGTGAGTCCTCCTAAGAGTTAACATTTCTGTGTTTACCAATCCCCTCCTAGGTTTTGTTTCAATTTCTGCACGTTGTTTCACGCAGGGCTGCTCTCCATTACTGCAGCAGATGGCAAAAACTGCTGAGTAGTAGGGAAAAAAAAAAGCATAAAAACCTGTTTTATATCCTACATGTATTAAAAAAAAAAATAAAGGCAGAATTACATAGAATGGAATATTGCTCTATGGAAACTACTACCTAAATTTGAAATGCAGTAGCATTCCAGTTCCTAATCTCTCCGTTGTCTAGACAGGGCATGCAATGCATTTGTCTTTAATGAGATATGGATTAATTTGCCTTGAAATACCTCAAAACCTCTGTAATACTTTCCAGCAGCACAAGTCTCTCACTGCTGTCCTGCCAAGCACACAGCACTGGTAAAATCAGGAACTTCTGTTAAAAAGAGACGTCCTAAAAAGAGCAGA